TTTACAGTATGAATTGAAGCTTTCCTGTTTCTAGGTCTGGGTTATGTTCCACAGTACGACTTTAAACTTTCCATCTTGCAACAGTTCAACTGAATGTTTTTATTGCTAAAATACCTTGAATTCTAAAGCCTGCCACACACAGGAATTTTGACTATTAACCCTTTCAGACCTAAGGACATATTTAGTACATTTGTCCTCGCTTGAATTTTTTTCTTTTCTTTTGCTATTAAAACTCAGTAATTTGCCATTCAATTGAGAAATACTGCAGTTAGAGCGGCTTTTTCAATTGTCAAGAACAAAGACACTCAGAACATCGACCATTTTGACTCATTACACTTTTCAGCAAAGCGGAAAAAAAAAAGTACATTTCTATGGTTGGAAAGTTATGTATGGTTATATACAGTAAAACATATTCGCTGGTGTCACCGGTCTGGAAGAGTTAACGGGCCCATATTACACTGTTTTCTGATCTATGTTATAATGCAGTTTCCTCATCACAAATATACCTGTTATGTTTTGTTTCATTCACACATGTTTAAAACACAGATCCTGCATATTTATATACTTACTCCATATATTTAGTTCTTTTCTCAAACTGAAAACACTCATCATACACCTTCTCTAGAATCATTTGGATGATTTCAGGCCTACAATTTCTAATCTCAATTTAATAAAAGGTAAATTAAGCTGTTAACTTTAAAATTACCACTCGATGACATCACAAGGCAGAACAGAGCATTTTGAGCTTTTGAGATGTGGACAGTCACCTGCTCGTCACCATGTAAATAGTGCAAAAATACTGATGCAGATTGCAGAATATTATGCACGATATATCGATTACTGCATATATCGAAAAAAAAGTGTTACATTGTGTATAATATCGGATCATACAGGGACTTCAGCAAATTCAGAATCTAAAAAAACCCAAAACATTTCTTTTCATGTTCAAAGACAGCCATCTCATTTCTGTTAATTATTTCTCATTCCGCATTCTCTCCATGCCAACTCATAACCCCACGCTGCATCCGTCAAGCCCCCGCCCACGCACGCAGTCAGCCCATAATAAGTCCGTATGCCACCTCGCTGCCGCCGCCGCCACTGCTGTCACCATGGCGACGGGCAGAGTGACAGCGGGCGACGTGCATGTGTAATTAGAGGAAGAGGAAAAGGCAGATCGGGGTTCATGTTTGGAGCGTGTGCGTGGGCAGAGGAGTGGGTTTGTCCTTTTCAACACTCGTATACACTCATTAGGAATCATGTAAATATAGACGAGACACTGTGAAGACCTGAGCAGAGGCTACGGGAGTTTATGTGCGTGTGACGTAAATAAGAAGCATCAGTATCAACGGGTATTGTGTTGAAGTGCCAGAACCAGATTGTAACATTACGAAGGCCACTTGAGTCAGACAGATATTAGTGGAATTTAATAAGCGGGAAACGAATACTGGCGGTGAGGCGGCTGAGTGGCCTCACAGCAACGAGATCCTGGGTTAGATTCTGGGCCTTGTGCGGCAATTGTAAAATGCCACCATAGGGATTAGAACACAGATAAGAACTATAGTAGTAGTAGTAATAGTAGCAATAGGCGAGTTTCAGCTGGCGTCATTGTTATTAAAAGCCCGCGTTGCATGCTGGGAAATATTTTGGTCGGAGGCAAGAAACACGATAGCGGTCAAACACAGTGCGTAACCTCGCGTATTTATCCCCGATAATGGTAAATTCCTGCTGCATTATCGGATGCACAAATAGAAGCACGGAAGAAGGAAAATGTCTTTTTCGTATTCTGAGTGAAAAGAACCGCTAACGGTGAATTAAATGGCTTTCAAACATCCGCAGAGCAAACGTAGAAGATCCTAACAAACCGTGGACTCCAACAAGTTCAACAACACATCGAGACTCTTGGAGGTTTTCATCTTTTCTGCTGTGAATGGCCCAGGAGTTTCCACCAAGTCATTGTGAATATTTAGCCAGGTAGTTGGCGATTCTGACCAGAAATTTGGTTTGGTCCACACTTTGTAGGGGTTGAAAAGGGTGATTTGGGCTCCATCGATGCTTATGACCGATTTCTGGTCAAATCATCTTTGGTCCTCTGCCGTTAGAGTGGATAAATAACCGGGATCAATACAATTTACGTGCTTTCTCGCTCCGTCCATCATGTTGAATTAGTATTTCTTGCCACCGACCAAAATAATTCCCAGCATGCAATGCACGCTTTTGTTAACAATGAAACTCGCCTATAGGCTAGTTCAGAAGACCCGGGTTCAACTCGGAGGGAAGTGGGATGTTTAATGAGACAACCACACAGGCTGAATGGTAGTGCGCGCGGCCATGTTCAAAGAGCTTGACGCACTAAGGCTACGTTCAGACTGCAGGACTTAACGCTCAATTTGGATTTTTTTTGTGAAATCTGATGTTTTTGAAAGGTCATTCACATTTCCAATTAAATGCGATTCATATGAGATCTCCAGTGTTAACGTTAAACGGCCCAAAAGTGTCTTGCATGCACACTGGAGGACACGATGACGTCAACCGCAGCGAGCGTGCTCTGTGTTTACGGAAGTTGTCCAAACATGGACGCAAGCATTGAGCACCTGGCGATTTTAAAGTTTCTCTTGTACCGGAGCCAGAACATGAACAACTTACTTGTTTTAAGGAGGAGATTGAGAAGGAGAAGGACGAGGTTTTTGGCCGTGGTGTTTTGTGAGGCAGTGGCAGTTGAAAGGAACGTGTGGATGTGGAGACGTAGCCAAGAGTGGTGAGTGGAGATATGCTTCACTTCAGTCACACGGAGTTCATTAACAATTTTCGCCTACTTCAGCGCAGTATAGTGACGTTTGTGACTTGTTGATAACGTGTAGGTCGGATGAATGCGCCTTGGCCGTTCAGACTGAAGTCGCATGTCAAAAGATCAGATATGTATCGGTTTCAGGACCACATATCGAAGTGTCCTGGGTCGCATTTGAAAAAATCTGATCTGTGTCGTTCAGACTGTCATTAAAAGATCAGATACAGGTCACATAGGGGCCAAAAAATCGGATTTGGGTCACTTCAGGCTGCAGTCTGAACGTAGCCTAAGTCTCGCGATACGTGCGCAAAGTCTCGCATTAGTTGAGAAAAACTGTGGTTAAAATATAAAGGTAGAGATGGGCCAGGGACTGAAAGATACCTGGGTTACACTTGTGCTGTGCTTTATGTATAAAGAAGTGGCGATGGACTATGACATGAAGTCAGTCGAGGCGAGCAGTTATAGTGGTAAATCTAGAGTCGAGTTCCATATTTGTAACTCTGAGTGTGGGTATCATAATTAACAAAGAGCCAATCAGAAGTGTCGGTATTGAAGGTTAACGGCGCTTCCTGCTCGCACCACTGGCTTAGCAGTGAGCAGACACAAACCAAACCAGCCAAAGCAGGGCTGGGTCTGGTTAGTACTTGGATGGGAGACCACAGGGAAAATTAGGTGCTACAGGGGGCGCCATTGAGTTCTTAGGCAAGGCACTTCACCTACATTGCCTAGTACAAAAGTGATGTATGTGTGAGTGATGGTGGTGGTCAGAGGGGCTGATGGCACAGATTGACAGCCTTGCTTCTGTGTGGCTACAATAGTAGTTTACACTACTGAGATGAATGAATAATGCTCTGTAAAGCGTCTCTGAGTGTCCAGAAAAGCACTATATAAAAGTGATGCAGTATTATTATTATTATAATTATTATTATTAAACCTGTTGCTAAAACTAGTGGGAGTGACCTATGGGAAATAAGACACCCACTTGGTCTGTTATTAATATTCGGATCTTAATTTACAGACAAAACAGAAAAATCTAATCTCCAGGATCATGTAGAAAGGGTTAATAGAAACATTTTAGACCAAAATGACGAAGCTCACTAGCCTGCTTCATCAGCCGGTTTCACTTTGTGGAAACCGTCTGACCTCACAGCATTAGGATTCGTTTGCTCGACAGTAGGCAGGGACTTTTTTTATTTAACCAATCTTTGCTATTTGGTCGAGATGTATGTAATGCACTGGAACACTCAGTGGTGTCCAAATAATTGCTGGCACAACAGCAACCATAGCAGAGAGTGAAAATCCTTGATCTCGGGAATCATTGCCAACACAGAATGTCTGTCTTCGTCTACATCCATGTCAACTGCTTTGTTTACTGTTGGGACCCAGACAGGTATTTGAGTTTGATGTCATGGTTTCACAGCTCTTCGCTGACTGGCCGGTGTGCGGTCTACAACTTCTGGGGTTCTTGTAAACCGTTTAATCTGATTCCTGACATAGTCGCTGGAGAGAAATTAAATTGAGTGGAGGCACTAGGTGGCGCCAGCCTGGCTATAAGCTCACTGCAGCAGTTATATAGAGAGAGGCAATGTTTTTTTCAATAGAAAGCAAACTGGAAATGAGAAATGAGTTGGAAACATGCCCGTGCTCACTTCCTACTTGGAGCACAGTGGCTAGCAGACAATCTATGTCCATGAATATTTACAGTCTATTTTTCTGGACGTCCCTAACAGACAGTTTTATATGATGGACCAGGCCCCGTAAGCTGCACATTACATAGATCATGACCAAATAGCAGCGATTGGTTAAATAAAAAAATGTACCCGCCTACTGTTGAGCGAACGGATCCTAATGCTACGAGGTCAGTTTCCACAAAGTGAAACCGGCTGAGGAATCGGGCTACCGGTTTCCCCATCAACCCAAAACAGGCACAATAACAGACAAGATGGCATTACTGGGTCAAATGCAGAGGACAGATTTCCCTTGGGGTGCAATAAACTGTACTTTACCTAACTTCAAAAGTGCTTCAAAAGTCATCTACAATATCTTCAGTTTGCTAAATATTAAAATGATGTTCTCAATTTTAAGTTCTTTACTTGGTTAAAAGAATATTGATCAAAACTGAATGTACTATAGAAATAATTGTTTGGCTAGTCGACTGTTAAAATCATCAACAGCAGCACTAATTTATACTATAGAACTTTTGCACTTTACTTACTCTGCCAGCTCCTCCAGACTGCGGTACACGTCATCTTCATTCACCGCTGTGTCTTCTGACGGGAACGGTCTACGTGAACACAAAAACACACAGGCACACAAAAAAGTTAGAAATAGAACCGGCACCCAAGAGCCTAAGCGGGTGCGCCCAGGAACGAGCGCTCTTCTCCGGGTGTCACCTCCTGTCACTCCCCCTCCGTCACTCCAGGGACCTCCGCGCTTCTCCCACAGCACCCGTCAAAAAGTAGGGTGTCATTTCAGTTCAGCGCAGGAGAGACATGAATAAAACAAGGGATTATGAAGCTCAGCCTTGTACATTCTCTGAGGAGGGAGAGAGGAGGCTGTCACAAAAGATGGTAAACAAAAGAGGAGTTGACAATAGGATTAAAGACAATTGTGTACATAGAGGAATGATATGTGTAAGGGGAGGGGGAAGTAAGTGTAACGGACAAAGCTGGGATCAACACGAACCAAGTACAATGTGAGGATTTCTGCAGGATATCTGGCCTTAGAATGAAATGGAATACAAATTGTAATAGACTAGTATACACCCATGGACCACTGAAGGATTACACACATATAAGACCACATGGCAATATAAAAGAAAGTACAATGATTTAATGTTGAAAATCACATTCTATTGTCTAAATAAAGAGTGTTTCATATTATCACTGTGGTATCAGAATCGGTATTGAGTCTATTTCCTAGTATTGACATATAGTTTGAAATGTGAGTATGTCGACACAACCAACTCGTCTACTACTACCTACTTCTTTTCAGCTGCAACTGTTTTGCGTGTGAGGGAACCATTTATCAAATCTGATATGAGGTAAAGAGCTGCATTCTGATTGGTCAAGATGGAACCACTGACTTCTGTTCAAAGTTGCAGATTTGACAACCCCAGCCTCTCAACATATTGGCATTTCACTGTAGCAATGGATTTTTACTAGTGTTACGATACAATTTTGTTGGGGTCCGATCCGATACCGATATTCGGCCTTGGTATACTTGCCCATACCACATAGTGTATAGCTACTCAATGTTGTTACAGTACAAGAGCAAAAGAATAAATTCAATTTAGAGTCATTAATAGAGAGATTATCAGACTATCACTTGGCGCTCTACTACGCATGTCTCCTGCAGAAATAGCCACTGTCCTGTCTTGTATCATGTCAGTGTTTCCTAGAATTTCAGCCTCCCAGAGGCGGAGCGAGTTGTGTCGATCAGGTACAAGTGGATGTTCAGCTACTGAAGTTGAAGCGTTTCTTCTCATCATTTACATACTCACCTGCACTGAACGTGTAAGAATTATGACAACGTATCCCAATCACTAACGTTAATAAAGCGTCATAACTTAGTTTATCACACAGTGACATACTCTTTTAGTGCGCTGACAACAGAACTAGCTAGTGTTGCAACTTCATGTCAACTGTGCTGACAACGTCACTTTCCACATTCAGGCTGTGCACACATCCGTTGTCTAGACAAACAAATAATCTGTCTATAGATCCATGCACAGACAACAGAAAAACAGTGAGACCAGTAAAAAGATGCTCATCCTCGGAACACATGGCTAATTTTGCAGAATAAACAACGTCTGAGTTATCGCTGTTGTCGGACAGCACTCTCTGTAGCTGTAGTTATTTTATCAAGCTCAGTATCAACACCAAAAGCAAAATGGAAGTAAAGATTAAAGAGGTAACACAAATATCTTTTCTGTTATTATTGCATGTTATGGCGTGATTTACGTGTCTACAGAGTCTCTATAGTGTGCATTTAACCTGCCCTGAGCATTAGCACAGACGTCAACAGCGGCTGCTCGTATCAGCTCACATTTACATTTACGTCCTCATTCAGGAAAATACAGAGTGGTATCGGAACTGTGATTTGGTCTGAGTACTCGCCGATACCTGAAAAATGTGCGGTACTGGAGCTTTCACCAATAGCAGTATCGGCATCAAAACAACCCAAATTTTTACTCTCATGTTTAAAGTTTGTAAAGATTGTATGAGAAATCTTTGAAACCTGTATGTATCACTCGATTCTGAATTTGCCAAATAACCACAAAAAGCTCAGAAATGTGGGTGGGGATGGGGGGGTAGGTGAAAACAGACATTTCTAGCACTTAAGCTTCAAATGCAGCAACAACTCAACTTACGATTACTCAAGCACGCATAAATCAATCAAAATACAACTTGGATGAGGTAAGATCATGATGAGGGAACACGGTTATAACATTGCCATTAAAGTTGTTACATTTCATCATTCGCAGATTCCCTTACACCAGTGGATCGTAACGTTATAAATATATTCACAGCGTAATAGTTTATTCATCGCAACGAGTTCAAGAGTTGAGTTCAAATGTTTTTCGGTTGCGTTGGCTAAATAAAGCGGACGTTAGCGGCGCACTGCAGTAAACAGCCTGTTAGTTTGACCTTGGCTAATGTGGCTACAGACGGCGATCATTTGTTTTCAGCGTGCCGAAAGAGCTGGCTAACCCAAACACACACATTCACACACATATCCCCACGCTGAGGCAACTTTTAAAAGGCCTGGGTCATTTCTCAAAGGGTGGAGTGGGAGTGCAGGCTGCGTGCGGAGGGACAGGTTCATGAAGGTGAAACCGCAGTTGAATATTCCATTAGTCACCGCTGCAAAAGGTCCTCCCTTAGCTAATACGTGCGGTTGGAAATGCAGAGAATGCGGAGAGATTTTCGATTTATTTTGATAGTTTGTTCCCGCAGGCCAACCTAACAATTGTTCCTGATGTAATAGATTTTGGTCTAAATTTACCACAATAAGTTGCGATGTAGGAAAGTAACGGATCAAGACTTCGTGGATTTATCATTGCTCTGCCTGGAATGTTCCACAGTATGACAGCTCTAATTTACATTTATTCAATTACAGATGGTTTTACCGTTCAAAAATACCTAAAAAAACAGGCCTTCTGTTAAGTTAAGCATTTGAAATTCAGGCTGCAGGTCATAATCGGATTTCACAAAAAAATCGGAATTGAGCATTAAGACCTGCATAGACCGATGAGGTTCATTTGGTCTTCCGATAATTTATGTTATTAGGTTCTTTTTTCAGACCAAGAGTTTGTTTTCATACCTGACAGTTTGGACTGCTCACTAGCGTCTTCCTCAGAGTGGTCACGTGATGTTGCTGTGACGTGTCCTTTCAGCTGATTTAAAAAGGTTTTGGCGCTGTCTTCCTACCGGTGGAGGCAGGACGACAGCGCCATCTGCAGTCCGACTTCCTCAGGACAGTATCCCAGGTGTGTGAGAGTAAAAAAAGCCCCCTCGTCCCGGTTTATAGTCCCGTGGGCATGTTTCTGTATTTCGATTGCCTCTTTAATCCAGCGACGGTGTTTGTTTTCCTCTGTCCCAATGATGTTTGCTCCGTCCCGGTCCATAATGTGGTTCTTTCTTTTACAGTCGTCAGAAACGGCCGATTTGAGTTGTTCCTGTTCTGCTTTGTGTTTTGTTGCTCGTGTGCACATCTTCACTGTTTCCTTCTCGCATTCTGTTCTATGTTCCTTTTTCTGTGTATTGAACGCCCTCCCTGTTTCCCAGATGTACGTTTTATTGCAGGACATGCAGGGTGTTTCGTATATGACGTTACATTTATGCTCCAGTTCTTTTTTGTCTTTTGGGTGGACGAGTAGTTGCCTGAGTTTTCTGTACGGTTTCACTGGTGTGTTGATATTGTGTTTTCTCATTGCTCTCTGCACTTTTTCTGTTATGCCCCTGATGTATGGCAAATTTACCATCCTTGTGCTCTTTTTTCCATTTTATTTTTGTTTTTCTGGTTCTGTTTCTCCTTCTCTCTAACCTGTTGTTTCCCTTTGCTTATTGCCCATTTTGGGTATTGGCATGGCGCTGTCGTCCTGCCTCCACCGATAGGAAGACGGTGCCAAAACCTGTTTAAATCAGTTGACCAGACACGTCACAGCAACATCACATGACCACTCTGAGGAAGACGCTAGTGAGCAGTCGAAACTGTCAGGTATGAAAACAAACTCTTGGTCTGAAAAGGAACCTAATAACATAAATTAAGACCTGCCTGCATGTCCTTAGTACCCACGTTTCCATGAAAAAATAAGAATTCACTGGAATGAATAGGCATATACTTTAAGAGGGAGTATTACAGTTCTATGGGGTATTAACTGCTAACACAAAACATATTTAGATCACCATGTTACCTTTTATTGGTTTGAAAATGCTTTATAAGTTTCAGTGTCGTTTTTGAAGCTCTAAGTAAATTACCCTACAGAGCGCAATCACAACACAATCAGCATTCATCCCACTAATGAAACTACCGCACATTGCATCAGGTTTGTGAAGTTGTTGTGCACAATTTTGCATCATGCTTTTATATATTTATGGAGAATTGCCATGTGGGAGCATGGATGACGTAGGCTTGTGGGCGAAGAGTTGGACAGAATCTTACAGCTAACAGTAAGGAGGGTTCGAATAGGACTCAGGAGAGATCACTACATTACTCAAACATGCATGGATGACAACTAAATCCACTTCAGGCATGTTTTTCATGAGAAAACAAACTTACAAGAAGTTTATTTAGCATAACACCTTCTTTCTAAAGGTGCACTTTGTAACATTTCTGCCACCTGCTCGCTTATATTGTATTTTGCATTTTGAAAACCCTTCGCCGCTGTTCAGAGCAGCCACAGCCATCTGCTCCTCACACTCACATATTCACACTGTCTCCAGATAACATATTTATATTTCAGTAAGTACCAAGCGCTCCTCTTTATTTGGTACACACAGAAAAACAGCTTAAACGAGGAGGAAAAGGCTGTTGCCATATTGTTGTTGTAACTGTTAAAATAGTGTTTTATTTCAGTATTTCATCAGTATGTTGAGGAAAAAGACTCCTTTTTTAGACACTGCTAAATGTTGAAGCAAAGACGAAGAGTTTATTTCTTGCAAGAAAAAGGTCCAGTAGAACAACCAGCAGCATGTTCCCCAAATGTAAGACCCCGAACCAGACCAGAGGAAATATATTTGAAGGTGATGACTCTTACTGAGGTGTGGCCAGAAGTGCTCC